ACTGAAGCCATCTCACGCCTAGGGGGCTAAATGCACCTCAGATGTAAATCAGTGACATTAAACCAGCAATGAAATTAGGTCGGTTGCTTTGACACATCCTGCTGTATTAACTTTTCTCATTATGTAGCAAATTATGTCAGAATTCGTAGTCCAGTTTGAAACTCTACCATTTACCAAGCCTCATGCAACTTTAAGGACATTACACAGTACTTGGGGTTTTTTAAATCAAGCATGATTTAACATACTTTCACACACATTTTTTAATTTTCCTGGTGGTATGTAATTGCATTTGAAGCTTAAGATTTTGGAGCTTTGGTGGGAAAGAGACATCGAGCTTTTCAGACTGATGTAGGGAATACATACTTTGGAGATAGTGTAATCTGAAATCCTTCCACTGAGAAAATCAGAAAGACAACTAGTGAAACCGCCTGCGAATGGGTCTCAGAGCAAGGGTTTAAGCAGCGAAAACATCATTCCCGTGCTATCACTGCCACCTATTGCCATCCACTGAGAAACAGGAGACACAGAACTTGCCGATCTCTGTTCTTATCTCTTCTCTCTCTTTGTTTTTTTGTTGCAATGCTTTCATGTATATTTTCTCCTCACTGCTTTAAGAACATCGTGCTACCAGGGAGAAAATGCAAATAAATCAAAACCAAGTGAGATGTCAAAAATATATCTGTAGAATAAAGTTTTTCCAGAACAAAATCAGTGACGTCTGGAACTTCCCTTTGAGTGTTGACAGGGATCTGCTAGAGTTCTAGAGCGATCTGATCCAGTACAAAAGCATAGCATGTATAAATATACATACATACATACATACATATATATACACACACACACACACATATATATATATATAAACATAAATAAATCACCTGACCAACACAACAGAATTCTCCCCTAGCTGGGCTCTTCCCTCCACCCTGGTCGCTTTTTCTTTTTATTCTCCCCTTTTGACCACTTGTTATTTTCTGTGGGGGTTTTACACCTTGCTTACCTCCTATATCACTGATTTTCTAATTTTCAGGTGAAATCTTAACCGTGATTGCTTTTTTGCTTAAAGTGGCTTCTTCATCTCGTGGTGTAGTGATGGTTTGCCCTCCACGCAACCTGTGTTAGTTTCTTGCGAGATTCTCTTACCTGCAAGTTCCTCTGATTCAACAACTTCTTCCCTGCATCATCCTTTTACCATTTATCACTTGCCTAAGTACTTTTGTCACAAATTATTCACATTCCTAGTCATACAATGCCCATTAGTAGTCAAACACTTCAGCCACCCCATTTTACAACACATTCCCTTGGACAAAGATTCAATTTGATAATTTGATATTACCCCTAGCATTTCCAATGAGTCATAATGGCATCTGCTGTAATTGAGCTAAATTCAGTCTAGGAAAACCAGTTGCTTTCTCCTTCTCACCTTTTAACGTGCAGTCCCTGCTCCCGCTGTTCGGTTTTCAGCTTTGGTCAAAGTTATTCTCATTAGTAAAACCAAGACAAGGTATGTGAAAGATTTAAGGGCTGTCTTTGAGTCTACAGAAAGACCCAGAGAGGCTTATTAATAAACTTTTTCAATATAAATTAAAATGTTTTTAGGAGACCAACTGTAACACAATATACCTTAAAACAATGCTCCTCCTCTTCTCTTACTAGCAAAATTATTCTCTCTCCTCAATTAGCAAAAACCCAAACTTACTTAAGACTAAAGGTGGAGCAAATGACTTCTTTACTTTTTTATTTTTACACTATTATAATTTTGGTTTTTGGAAACTGGAATAAAATATGCTTTTCTACTGAGAAACGTCATGCAAATTATGCCTTTCTGTGCCATACAGACTCTACAGTTTCATTAAGTGACTGCATCTCCTGTACAGCTGGCGATAAAAAATTACAGCGATGATACAGATGGAAAAGTCATTAAAAGAACCAGAGAAATCCATCTGCAAATCTCACTCTGTAAGGGTTTTATGCAGAAGCTCTATCTCGCTGAGACAGTATTGAATAGCAGGTGGTGTGCTGAAAGTCTTCTAATGCTTTCCAAAGCCTGGATTTATGGATAGGGGGATAAATCATTATATTGCTTATAGCCTGACGGATGAAGAGTGGAGAGTTCTAGAGTCTGGTGATTTATTAAATATGGATGCTGCTATGGGTTCTTTCGAAATAGATAAAGAGAGTTCAGAGAATGATTTCTTCTGCATTTAGCACAATCAGTTTCAGAAATGAGCAAGCAGATACAGCTGTCTCCAGAAGTTCCTGAAAAATTTAAGGAATAAGCATTTTTCAATTAAATATCATTAGGGAAAAGTGAAAGAGAATACAAAGGTGATAAAATATTGTTAGGTTAACTAAAGAGTTACTCCTCAATAGTTGTAGTTAGGGCTATCGATGGCCTATTTTTACCTTCATAGGAGACTGAACCATTTCACAAGAGAAAAGTTTATGAGCTGTGTAACCAGTAGCGGAGCTATCCCAGTTACCCAACTGCCAGGAAGATCCCCTTGTCCAACACTCCCTCTGTCCTTTTATGTTCTCAGGTTGTGGAAATCCTTTCCTGTTCTTGCCATGGTTCTGGCAAATGTAAAAGTCTTAGCTAGAACTTCTTACATCTTACTATGTAGAAAACTTACTCCATCTTACTATGGAGTCACAGACTGACTCCCTTGGGCTATCTAATTCTTATACCTTATTTACTAACTTCACTAAATAAGTGGTAAAGGAATAAGTTGTAGCAATTTGGACCACTGGACTGAAGGAGCACAAAATCAAAAAGTCTAAATGACAACAGCACAAGTTCATTGTTGGGTTTCTCTGTATTTCAGAACCCTGTTTGTAAGCAAAGGTATCTTTGATTACACTTTGCTGAAGCGTTACTGCTTGCAACCGCAGCTCTGCTGAGGACAGAGGAGCTGCAACGTCTTGATGTGAAGCCAATCACTCTTGACTGTTTGCATTCTCACATTCTTCCCTTAATGCTCTACAGAGATGTAGGTGATTTTTCCTATGTACGTTTGTGTGCATGCTTGTTGGGACATTGCTGCTTCCAGGACTTACAGCCAATACCTAAGCCAAACATTTGAAAATAAAATTTTGAATTACTTGGAGGAATGAAAGTAAAGTCTCCTGGTTATGTCCCATTAGCCCAAGGTCCTAATACCTTACTTAAATTTGCATACACTCCCCAATTTATTGTCAAAGGATGATCTTTATGACGGAAGATGGTTTTCAGCATATGCAAAGTTATCACTGTTTTACCTACTTGCAAAGTATTATTTCATCCATTCTTCAATCAGCCACTCTAATGCAAAAAGTAAATTTAAATTCTATACAGGACCCGCTGCACAATTAAACAGGTATTTTCAAATATCTCAAAAAAAATAAAAAGTTTGTGGAATATTTGAGTAACTCTGCTCGCTATTGAAAGTGCGGCTATTAAATGTGCTCGAGTCTGGGACTTCAGAGCTACAGGCAGAACTGGAGCTGTGTGTCCTCCCTCGCAGGAAAACTACTACTGCTGGGCTTGACCATGTGAATCCCTACAGGACAGGCCTGCTCCTGGGTGTGTTTGGTTTTTACACATGGAGCTTCTATTCCTAACTGAAGCCATCAGAAACCTTCAGCAGATTTTAGCAAGACTGAATTTCTGGTACCTTATTAATAGTTGGTCAACTATTTTCAAGATAACAATAATTTAATCCCCTGAGTATAGCGCTGATTAATCAAATTTTTGATTAATCAAAAATCCATATGTAGCAATCTCTACTATTAAAGACATAATATTCAAGGAATGTTATCCTTAGCAGCAGAAGCTAACTTTAGTAAGGCATAACATACAATTGTAAAGACTTTCAGAACAGTATAGATTGTTGTCATGAACTTGTACAAATCCTAGAACATCAGGGAGAGTCCAGGTACACAGCAGCAATGGCACTGCTCTTGTCCTCTGCTTTTTGACTGTCCAGGAGTCATCGATAAATTGAAAATCTGAACAAAAGGAATCTGCAGCAGAATTAGAATGCAAGTGAAAAAAATTGGCAAGGACCTCGCCCCATAGCTGGATCCCAAGAACCACTATGTGCACAAGCCTGTGTGAAGCTCAGGTAAGGAATTGCAACTTGAGCCATCGCTTGCACATTTAAATATAAATAATAAATATAAATGCTAAGGAATAGACCTGCCATTTAACACATATTCTCTTGAAGTGGAACTGTTCTGTTTATTATTCCTGCTCCCTCGCACCTACAGACAGGCTGACAATCTGTGAAAACCATGGACTAAACAAAGAGGGGAAAGGGACTTGAGAGACTGAAAAGTAACTGACTGGTTTTTCCTTGCTTCAGGAAGAAACACACGCACAAAGCAATCGGTCAAGGATTATTGAACAGAGGCAACAACAAGCACTTCTATTTCCTGTCTCCTCTAAAAGTGCTACATTTCAAAACCCAAATTATCAAACTAAGTTACACCAAAGGAGTCGTATTTGACAGCAGATTTATCACTAGGTTAATATGATTTTACAATGATTTCCGATAGTTCTGTTCACTGAGTTTACCTTGTTTTGAACATATATATTTGATAAGAAGATGGAAACAACCGAATGTGAACACCAAGGCCAAACTACCAAATAAGGATACACAGGAAAAGATCAGGACTTCTTTATTAGGCTCACTGTTTATATTAACATTAAATATAGAAGCAGTCCTATTTTTTAAGAGTTAAAGTAACTCTAATTAGTTATGTTACAATTCCAAATTTCCTTGAAGAAGGTTGCTATATATTTCTATGAACGTTGATCTGTACAGACAAAGGGTTCTTATTTGAATGCTACAAATTATGTCATTAGATTACAACAAAAAAACATCGTAAAGCTTTTAGTTTATAGAAACATAACTACAACCACAAGATATACATTTCTCACGCTCTTACTGGAGCTCTGTAATCCACTGGGAAGTTGGGAGGTCTATGTCGTTCTTCCTTCTGCATCTAAGTTCCACATTTCATTGCCAAACTCCTGTTCGCTGTTTGTTATCAGCAGCATGCTCGAAAAACATGAAGTCCTAAGAAGGGAACAAAAATCAGACAAAACAAGTTTTTCTTAAATGCCGTTCATCTCTTAGCTCAGAGATCTCCTGGTTGCTTTTCAAGGTATTCAAAGTACCTTCCCATCGGAAACCTCCAATGATGTGGGGGCACCTCTCTCTATCCCCCCATCACCTGGGTCTCTCAGACTAGGACATCCACAGAGAGAGAGGAAGAGGTGGTGAAAGATCTACATGGCAGCTTTAAATTATCATTAGCCCAAGCTATGCTTCTTTTATTCCTGGCTTTGTTGGGCCTGACTCAGTCTCTTCAATTTTACCTCCTACTGGAGCACATCATAATGGTGACTTTCTGTAGTTTACATCTGGGGACCACATTTTTTGCCTGGGGCCCTAGGTTGATTGCACTCACTAACGCTGTACTTCATGCAAATGGTAGCCCATGAACACGCACGGCGAAGGAAAACCTGGCTCTTGCATAAGGCTGTTAGAGGCTGGTGAGAACTTTCCAAACTCCAAGTGCTTCACGTGCCCCTTTCCTCCCCTCCCTGCAGCCCTGCCAGCACAGCACCAGTGCACTTTCTGAATGGTACCTGGAATTGCACAGCTAAGGGGAAACACAAGGGTGTCGCACAATGCCCCTTTCTTCCCCTCCCTGCAGCCCTGCCAGCACAGCAGCAGTGCACTTTCTGAATGGTACCTGGAATTGAACAGCTAAGGGGAAACACAAGGGTGTCGCACACCATTTTCAAAGAGTAAACTGAGCTGCACTGGCGTATTTGACATGGCAGAGCCAGGGAGCAGCTGAAAAGCGCTGTATTGAGTTAGATGGGCTTTGCCTCCACAGAAGTTCCTCCCATTAGAAATGCCTCCTCTGAAAGCATTTAATCCAGCTCATCTCAGTGCTTCACCTACTTCCACAGAGAAGAGTTGGGAGAAACTGGCTGCAGCATCCAGCTGACCAGGTCACCAGCTCAGCAGGCTGCTCTGGTTTTGGATGGGTCTCTTGGCTACTGCCGATCTGCACTTTTCTGGTTTCACCATCCACAGAAACATGTTGCCTCTGCTCATGCGGCTGTAAGGAGTCTTCCCTTTACAGGGTTTCTCAGTTCCATCACAAACAATGCTCTCCTTAAATAGTCAGCATTTCATGTAGTCTAGAATAAGCTTATTATCCAAAATAATTCTTTGCTGCCCTCCGTGGTCAGTGTTACACGTGGGAAGTTCACTACAAGCTGTCGCCCACTTCCAGAAGCTCAGAGTTAAATCCTTTACCAGCGCAAGTTGAACTTGGAGATGAAAAAGTCAGTTCATACTCAGTATTAATGAATGACAGACTTACGATAAGGAAGCAAGCACCGATCATAACAGCTTTCATTTTTACATCAAGGTCCATCGGGAACGTGATTCCGAAGTTATCTGCGTCTGTAAAGGCTTCTTTCACAAACCCAGTCCACTGCTTAGAAATCCGCCCAACAGTAGAAGTCTCATCCAGAGACTTCACCTAGTTTAATATAGAATTTAAAAAACAACATCAAATCTGTCATTCATAATATTCCCAAATCCTTTTCACAATAGATTAATCTGAAAGCTTCAGATGGTGCTATTTGAATTAATGCAGTCTTTGAATGCAACTGTACCAAAAGGCAGCCCTGACTATCAGAAAGTCCATCTAAAGAAGCACAGAAAAGAGCTTAATTCTAAATGTGACTGCAGAGCTCAATACTTTAATGGTGTTGGAAGAGAGCTACCGTGTGCATGCACACACACACTGCTGGAAGCGGTGCATTTTAGCCAAGAGTGAATTAGTTTCTCCTGCAACATATCAGGAACTGCCCAAGTGAAAATTCAACAGATTCTGTTCTTCTGTCCCAAAGCAGACATTAGCCCTTTGTCAACATTGTTCCTAAAGTTAGATCCAGCCTTCAGGGCCATGTGAAAGACCAGTCCCCTAGAATAAGATTATGCTGAACTTGCTTTGGCAACTATTTGCATTTTAAATATCAAATGGTAGAGTAGTGTATGTACTACTTCATGTGTATGTATGAAAATAATGACCTATTAATCACTATTATTTTTTATGTTAATGTTGCAAATCTTCAGTCACTCAAATCTATATTTTAGGTCCAAATTATCTTGATTTATTTAGTCATTGAATGATTATTAAATGATTAAATGAGTGGTTGCAGGAAGTAATTTAAATAAATACCCGATACAGCTGAGAATAACATTTTTTTGTTAGGGTCTAACATAACAGATTCAAAAGGATTCTGCTGCTAAGTATTTCTATTAAGAGATCTGTGTGCAACCACAGGGAATCAGTCTCACTGATCACTGATGAGTGCCTTTGAGATGACATTTCTAGGCATTTATCTGGCTTATCTAGTAATCTAGATACCTAGAGAAGTGAGTCGATTGTACTAGCATTAAAAGATTATGTGCTGATTACTTAATATATACTACAGTTGAGTAGTTGACAGGCAGTAACTCAAGGAACAAGCTGCTATCAAACTGCTATCTGAATCAAGAAGATACATACAAACCATTTGCAGCATTGCATACCTCAAAATTAATATCCTCACAACAGCTGCAGACAATACAGGGGCCAGTAATTTTCAGTATATCCGTTCTTTTCTCATCTTGAATTGTGAACTTTGGCAAGCAGGCATGCCAGTTCTGGACAACGTAACCAACCGGTGTTCCTGGAGGCGCCTGAACTTCCAGCTTCACAGGAAAAAGAAAACCTCCACGTGAGTGTTTGTGCTTTAATGTGCTTGCTAGGCAGTACCCACACTAGGACACAAACCAAACACAGCTCACTTTTCCACAGCAATTTGGCTTTCCAATGCATGAAGCTGCATGCAGTTTCCTGTAAACGCTTTCAGAAAGTTGCACACAAATTGCAGACATCGTACGCAACTTTTGCCTTCACTGAAAACGCTAAGATACTCCTAAGGCTGTGGAACACACAAGCTGTGCATTTACAGCTCAAAGTCTAGTGAAAAAAAGGCTATGAGCATCCAGAAAGCACTCACTGAAGACAGTACAGGAGGCAGCTATTACATCCTCGGTAAGAGATCTAAGTAGGCTCAGAGCCTTTTGAGGGCTCTTTCGAGAACCTCATTTGAGGTTTCAGAAATTGCATTGCCCTGTAATTATTTTAATATTTAAAAAGCTTATCTCACGTGTTGAATTTCGCTATAGCCTTCACAGCAGTAAAGTGAAAACTCTAGCTGTTATTTTACGAAAGCCATCAACTAACTTTTATATTGCAAGCCTATCTCCAGCACGGATTTCGACACTAGTCACAAGTTCCCTGACACGCTGCTGAATCAAATTTTTCATTACTGTAATCAGAAGTCGCCAGAGTGAAGCAGGAGTGTTGCAGCACACTAGCTTCTTCTCAGATCAAGGAGATCCCATGCACAAATCCCACAGATCTTTCTCTCCACAACTTACAGGTTGTCCCGCTTTACTAGGACAGAATTTGAGACTCAGCTTTCTGTTGAGGAAAACTGCAATTTTGTAAGGACTACAACACTCTATTTCATAGGTAAAAAGCGATAAAACTTTGTTGTAGTTTTCAGCTAAAGCTGGTGTGTGATGCCCAAGGTCTTCAGCAGTCTTGAGATAAATGGGTGCAGAGGCTGGGGGCAGTGGAAGCCCAGGGGAGTTGACCCCAAGCCAACCCCAGGCTGATCAGTTAATATCATCTCACACCATAAGTGTCACATTCACTGTGAATTATTAATACCATTTCACACCATAAGTGTCACATTCACTGTGAATTAGGGAGTTTGCTGGGAATGGCTTTCCTTCTTATTTTTCCTTCTTCCATGGCTGACATCCTGAGAGGGACTTTTTTACCGCCCCACCTCTGAGGCCTGCTCCCCCACAGTATTGGCTGAGTACAACTCTGAGTATTTTATATTATAGCTGTTATTAATATTCATTTTTATTATTATTTGATTAAATATATTTCTATTTCAACCCATTAATCTTCTTTCCTTTTTCCAACTCACCTTCCCAAGTGGGAAGGAGGCATCAGGTGATAGAGCAACTGTGTAAACCACGACAGAGGTAAACTTGACTTGTTTCACCTCATCTCCTGAATCAAGGCAACCCCAACTTAAAAACTTAAAACTGCACAGGTGAACCATGTCCCATGTGAGGAAAGATGGTGAGAAGGAGCAACTCACCTCCTGTAAGCAGCAGGGAAAGCAGCACGAAGAACACCGGAGGGGTCTCTGCAGCGTTATCACCTCGTGGCCCAGGTTGTCTATGATCCGAAGGGTGAAGGGTCGTGATGGCCCACAGCAAATCCTGGTACAGCATTCAGTGTCCTCTGCTGCAAAGTACACACTTTGCCCCAGCGTATTCTTGATTTCATATTTGTTGTTTGTTTCAAAGCCAGTCAAAACTGAAACATAGGAACAGAACTACTAAATTTCTGAGGTGCCTGCGGTCAGAAAAGTCACCATGCTAACTCTAGAGCTATCCTTTGGGAAGCTAGACCTCACTCAAAGTCTGTCAGAAGCAGTTACTGGTGAAGGGAAGCAGCGGTGGGGAAGGAGCTTGGAGCAGAGCAGCCTGAAAGAGAAGTTTAAAGGAGAAGCCACCATGAAAGAGCATGGAGGTGTCCATCAGTGCCCTCCCACCAGGCACAGGCACCTACTGCCAGAGCAAGCACCACGATTATAAATAACAGAGCATGGAAAATATCCAGGAAAGAGCTGAAGGGATGAGAATTTAAAAATCTTATGAATTTGAAGCAAGAAAAGGGCTCCAGAAGGCACAAATGCATTCAGAATGAGAAGGCCACAAAAAAAAAAAAAATCTCACAGTCGAGATCCACAGCAACACAAACAGAAAACAACAAGAGCAAGGACTGAGATTTTCATTACTTTCTCTAACAAATGGAAGTACCCTTTAAAGCATTATGGAAGGAAGATGCAGCAGTGTTAGGTGTCAGCAGAGATGGATGGTCCATATTTCTCTAACAAATAAAAGTACCCTTTAAAGCATTATGGAAGGAAGA